TTTTTTTTTTTTTTTTTTTTTTTTGTACCAGGAATTGAACTCAGGTCCTTGTGCTTGCAAGGCAGGTGGTGGAGCCACTGAGCTAAAACCCTGGCCCTTCTTTTGTGTTCTTTTAAAATTATTATTTTATTTGGAGGCAGATTTATTGGACTCCATAATCCACAGGTATTGAGCTAATTTCCAAAGCAACTATTCAGTAGAAAATACAATCTCACAATCCTGATTAAATCATGGAAAATACAATGAGTGGTGGTATGGGACTTTCATAACACTGGGATGAAGTGAAATTTAGAAATTGTAGTCTCTGTTTTTTCTTTTTCTTTTATTGCTGCTCAGGTTTCTGTTTATTCAAATCGTAGTTTATCTTAAAGCTTCAAAACATAAGCTCTCACATCCAAGGCCTTCTTCAAGTTTCTCTTAGTTTTTATGTCTCAATTTGTCTTCACACACTGCAGTAAATCAGTACATCTTTTTAATATTTCTAGCCCTGGGCGGGAATTGTGTGATACTGATAGATTTTCCTCCAACTTATTAGTTTGAAAAATTTCCAACATACAAGGAGTTGAAAGAATAGTACATTTCCCCAGCAGAAACAGTTTCATCTTTTCAGGAAACTCGTTCCCTAACTGGCTGCAAATCATCTGCCCTTTCATTTCTTTTCCAGATAGCAGAGCAGGGCTTGTTTCCATCATTTTGAAAGCATGACATGCTTTCACCCATATGCAAATCTATATTCCTAGCAAATTTTCCAGGATAGATTTGAGATGTGCCAAAGGCAGTATTCCAATTGTAAATATTTGGAAAGTTCTAGCCCATTTATTTTTGTCTCGCTTATTAACTTCCAAAACAGTGCACATCTCTCTCCCACACACCCAGGTTTTACTCATTCAGTCTGTCCGTGCTTATCCACTTAAATTCCCTCACTTTACTCACTCTGGTTTTTGTGTTAAGGAAAGGCCTTGTCATCAGCATGTTTTCAGGACTCTCTGTGCACTGTGCACTGCTCTACACAGTGGTGGACAGAGTGGTGTCTAGTGTCTTGGCTTCCATGGAGCTCACACTCCAGCAGAACAGGACATAGATCACAGTAATGAGACCAGAGAAGCACCCAAGGGAAAATGGACTGAGAACTTCCTGCTACTCTGAAGCTCCTCCAGTGGGGCAGTCTATTCTGGGGACACCCAGGGACCACCCCTCATTTGGACATTACAGGGAGCTAATCATGGCTCTGAAAAGGCTCCTGAAGCCAGGTGAAGCAGGTGCAGCTTGGCAGGAAGTGAACGCTGGAAGGAAATGGTGCTGGGAGGGAGGCATACCAGCTTTGCAAACAGCTCCCTGTGGCCGGCCGGTGCTTGTCCTGGCTAGTGCTGCCTCTCCTCATCCCCTGCGGGGAGCCCACAGTTGTCACTCTCAAGCTCTCATCAGTGTAAGGACCACAAAGAGGTGCTGAGTGTTAAGGAGAGTCAAGATTCTGCCCTGCACATAAATGTGCAATTTCCATATTATATTGTGAATATTTTCAAACATTCAGCAAAGTTGAAAAGACTTTGCTGCAAGCATTGATATATTAATCTCTCTTGCATAAAATATATTACAGTTCTTGCAATATCACTGTTGCATGCATACAGCCATGTGTCACTTAAGGACAAGGCTGGGTTCTGAGAGACCAGTCATCAGGCAATGTTGCCACTGTGTGAATATTCTAGAGTGCTTACATGAACTTGGATGGTGTTGGTCAGTCACTTAAGAAATGCAGCAGAATGTGGCTGGCAAAACACGGCATCTCATGTAACAGTAAACTTTTCATAACTTGTTTTTAGAGCACACCGTAAAGTCATGATAAAAGTATACTATAGTAAATAGATAAGCCAGTAACATAGCCATCTGTTATCATTATCCATTATTGTATATTTTACATATTTATATGTGTTACCCTTTTATAAAATGGGAAGCACAATAAACTTATTTATACCAGTGTCACCACAAACCCATGAGCAATGTGTTGCGCTATAACCTTATGATGACTATGATGTCATTAGATGACAGAAATTTGTCAGCTTTGTTATAATCTTATGGGACAATCATTATATAGGTATTCCATTGCTGACTGAAATGTTATTACACAGCACACAACTCCTTTAACTCACTCCACTGCACATTAGACTTTTCTCTTCTAGAATTTTATACAAATGGAACATACAGTCTGTTCCCTTTTGTAGCTGGCTCAATAACTTAGCGTAATACATTTTGAGAGTCATAATGTCATATATATTAGTTTGTTCCTTTTTATGAGTGAGTAATATTTTATTTTATGGATATCCTGGGATTTGTTTTCCTTCTCTTATGATGGATAGACACCTGGGATGCTTCCAGTTTTTCACTCCAATGAGCACAATGGCTCTGCAATTCTTACATAACTCTTTTTGTGAGCTTTTGTTTTCCTTTCTCTTGGGCAAATAGTAAGCATGGAATTGCTAGGTCATAGCAATGTGTTTCTTTAGTTTTATAAGAAACTTGGAACTTTTTCCAAAGTTCTTTACCATTTTACACTTCTACCAACAAGTACAAAAATTTTTATTCTCCATGTCTTTGGCAATATTTGATGCCAATGCATTTAATTTTAGTCATTCAGGTGACTATCTAGTGCTACCTCATTATGGAGTTTATTTGTATTTCCCTGATAACTAATGAAATGCATTGTATTTAATTTAAATTTTATTTAAATATAGAGTCATTTTGACCTTCTTGTAAAATACAAGTTATGAGGAGGTGGAAACCTTTAGCTGTATTTCTATTTTTAAGGAGTCCTCAGTCTTCTACCCTGGGTGAGTTCCCAGGGCTGCCTGTGTGGCCAGGGCTGGCGTGGGACTCATAGTGGGGGTGGGAGTGATCCCTTCTGTATCACATGGAGTTCACAACCACAGGTAGACAGACACTGACTACAAAAACATCCCAAGATACAAAGGTGGTTTCCAGTGACCACATTCACAGCCTCCTGGCCTCATAGTAACAGCCCCAGAATAACTGAAACATACTTTTCAATAAACTATGAAAGTTCTTTATGCCTTTTGTTAAATAGACTGCAACAAAAACTCACCCTTTCAAAGCCTGGATTTAGAATAAGCTCTGTTAGATAGTAATTCAAATTTCCAGGTAATTGGCTTGTAAATAACCTCCCATCTGCATTACCTGTCTAAATGAAGCGCAGTTATTAATTTAGCTCTTAATAGTCTCAAAAACATTGGATAAAATTGCCTCAAAAGTGCTTCTATTTTTGGTGTGGTATTTCTCAATGTTATTTTAAATTTTTATTTTATGAGTACATGCTTCAGTACATAATGATTCATAGTGATTGTGGGGAATTGGCTCATGTATATAACACATCTTAATTCTTTTTTATCCTCTTCTCTTCTCTCCATTCTGAAAGTTTCTCTATTGTCTCTGATTATCAATAACAGTTACTTGGGTTTTTAACATTTAGTGAGTTGGAATCTAAATCATTTGGGTTTATAATTTACCTCTCCAGGATGTGGGTGTGCTAAGGGAAACCCTGAGTATGAACTAATCCTTTATCTTTTTATCTAGGTAATCTAAAGGTTCATGGGAGGAGAGGCACAAAATTAGACAGAGTTGAATGAGAAAAATTAGCCCATGCAGTGGGCTAATTTGAGTGAGTTTGTGCTTAAGTCTCTTCATTCCCCTGTGCCTTAGTTTCCCCATTTGCCAATGAGAAAGGTGGAGATTCCTACCTGCTGAAGAAATTTTCCATCTTCATGGCACTCTACCCCATGCTTGTCCATGGCCCTCCATGCCATCTCTTCCCTCAAACTCTGGTGTCCCTAAGACAAAACCTGAGCTGGGCTGTGTTCTGCCTGTGTGACCCTGTGAAGGTTACAGAATCTTTCAGAGCTTGGCTTCTGGATAATTACAGTATCTGCATCCTAGAATTACTGAGAATATTGAATAACTCATAGCAAGTATTTAGCAAAGTTCCTGATATATAATGCATCTAATAAATACTGTCCACTGAAAAATACTTTGTGACATTTACACTTGGTAATTAATATTCTATTGTAACAGTCATTCAATAGTGGTTGAGTACATTGTTATAAACTCCCTTGATGGGAATTATATAGCTATTAAGAAAGAAAGAATATATAAAACATTGAAAATTACTTGTAATACAACATTCAGTGAGAAAAGCAAGAAAACAAATAATCTCTATATCACAAGAACACATATGCATGATAAACTAGATCCAAGCATTCATAAGCACACGTGCAGCCAGTGAGAGATGGAATGGGTAGGGTATGTGCCTTTGCAATACTCTTCTATAAGAAGAAAAAAATTTTTTTCATAAAACAAGTCCCCCATATTTCTCTCTAATGAAATTTTTGGTGAAGCCAAAATATGGATGATAGTTGCTGTGTTTTCCTTTCAGTTTCCTGGCTTTGAACACGGATACAATTGGTGATCTCACCTTTCCGTTGAAAGCAGTGAATTTTCATGAAAGTGTTCTTCAACAGGGATTTAGTAGCCAGAATTTATCATTAGGTAAAAATATATGGTGTTATATTTTTCCCTTTTGATGTGTATTTTGGGAATATCCTTGCTGATGAACTATCCACTAAATTTAGTAGAGAATGAGTCAGCTTAATTATAAGCTTCTAGGCATGGACAGAATCCCTTTAGGCCATGTTGCAGGACAGCCTTGCTTGTGTTGGCAGCCAGCACGTTCCTGTTTAACGCACTTTATGTCATCTTTTGGAATTCCACCCATAAGCATCATCATTTGGCTACCATGGGAAGTGAGAAGTAGAATGATTTTTTTTAACCCTTATCAGAACTGAAATATCTTTGTTCTAGATCTATAATAAATACATTGTTCTCTGGTGGGGAAAAGTGCATCCAGCATATGTAAAAATTAACATTTGGTTATGCTGAAATACACTCTATTTTCTATTAAAATGACTATTAATCCCTGAAAAAACCTAAGACTTTGCGTTAACATTGATGGAAAGCCAGAGGGGATATCCACCAAGAACAGTACCACTGAGGTTGGTTTGAGGAAGAACCATTCCCAACCCATGAATATCTGTTTTCTCTTCTGATCCAACATAAACAACCACTAAGACCCCAGGAAAAGCTTTATTCTTTCCACTCCCTGTCTTGCTCAGTGTTCAGTGCTGCCAAAACAAGGACCTGGGCTGCTGCTTTCCCACTGCATGGAGTTAGGTGCCAAGAGGGTCACAGTTGGGCCCCTGCAACTCTTCCCTCCTGTTTGTCTCTTTTCATGTCAACTATAGTTCATCTTCCAGTAAAATACAAAAGGAGTACAAAGAGAGGGTTTGGGACACATGGGAACAAGTCTTCTTTTAGAAAATGTTTGGAGGCAGAAGAGTCCTAGAAATAAGATGTTTAGACACTTCTCTGTGCAATAGAGCCACACTGGTGAGAATCTTCTAGAAGCTGAGCCAGGGGTTGTACCAATCACTTTATCATCCAAGGTTAGAGCTGAGATGAGGCTCTGCCAGAACATGAGAGAATGTTCAGGTGGGTTCAGCCACCTGTCTACCCTGGCCTTATCAAACATGCAACCAGCCAAATTAGAGGAGGGATATAAGCCAAGGTGGAAGTTCTATCCTTGCACTGAAGAGAATAACAAACAACAGGGAAAATACAGTTTGTGAACAAGCCTTCCAAGACTGTAAAAGAAAAAGATAAACATAAAATTGCAAAAGAAGAAAATAAACATAGTAGAAATGGTAGGAATAAAACCTATAGATAGCAAATGTTTCTGAAAATGTCAGAAATAATGACCACAAACATAATAGAAAAAATATTTTCTTGAGTATAAGAATTCACATAGTAATGAGGAAAGGACCATACTTCTACATAGTCTAAAAATTTAGAATAAAGAAAGTATCATGCAAGGAAACAGAAAATAGTAGTTTAGCCAAAGAGGAAAAGAAGTTAGGATAATTTCAGTCTTTATCCACTAGCTCTATATGAATTAATGCTCTTTTAAAGAGGAATCTTCACAGTCTACTAATACTATTCTATGCCAAATTCAACTCATAAAAATAGGCACTGGAGACATATTTACAGAATCAGAAGCAATTTTACTTCTCTGAAAAATTATTCAAACACCTACTACATAGGACATTGAAATAATTAAAATTAATAAGTCAAAAATAAGAAAATCAAACTAAAAAAGAACTGGTGGTCCCTATGAAGCCAAGATTTGTATGTTTTTAAAATAATTATAAAATTAAATAGAAAAGCTAAAAAATTTTTTGGGAACAAATATGAATTTTTAAGAAGTTGACTAACAGGTTCTATAAGAGATTGGGTCTATACTCTTTTTAAAGGTAAGATGAAAAGTAAGGTAAAAATACGTTGAATTTCTTACTTGAATTGCAAGGCAAGCAAAATATCTTCTGTTCTGATAATTAGAAAAATGTGGGTTATAATATATATTTCATTAAACTGAAAGCTAACTTAAAGACTAAACACAGGATGCTTATTTTCCAAATCACTGCAGAAAATTAAGCAAAGATGATAAGTAAGCAGCCAGAAGTTTATGTATCAGATATAGAGCAAAAAACAAGTCAGAAAATGTATTCTCAGAGGTCACTCAGGTATATATATTCTCAGAGTGAGAGAGCTGTCTTAAAAATTCCCACTGCAAGGGCTGGGGATTTAGCTCAGCAGTTCAGTGGCCTGCCTCGCAAGCGCAAGGACCCGAGTTTGATCCCCAGTACCAAAAAAAAAAAAAAAAACCCACTGCCAATTGCACTTTAGTTTGAGAATGTCTCTAGGATTGCCCTCTAAGTCTGCTTCCAATAATTGCTTCCTTTGTCTCTGACTTAGCTCAGTTCAGGACTCCTCTCCCTGGCTCCCTACTTTCAAAGATTAGTGCTTTGAACTTGAGTTGCCCTGATCTGGTAATTCCTTGAAAACAACCTTCCATTACATGTGATCTTTTAAATCAGTCCACAGAAAACTGATACATATCCATCCTGGAAAGGTGTAAATCCCTCTACCTCCCACCACTGGAAATAGGGGATTAGATTTAAAATGGGTAACAATATGAAATAAAGGAGGTGTCAGTCTTCCTAGTAAAAATGCAGACTGTCCGATTAGGTTAGAAACAAATATAAGCATATATGTTTTGAATATAAATAAATTTAATTACTATATATACATTGATGTATAAATATATATAATATGTAAATAAAAATGATTTTTATAAGCTTTAAATGAAGATGAAGATACACATTAGGAATAGCAAGATATTTTCACATCTCTTTCACAAGGTTGATATACTATTAGCTCAGGTTGCCATAACAAAATGTCACAGATTAAGTGATACTGTTTTCTCCTAGTTCCAGGGGCTGGAAGTCCAAGATCAAAGTGACAGCAGGGTTATTTTCCCCTGAAGCCTCTTCCTGGCTTGCAGATTGCTGCCCTGTTGCAATCTCTCATGGAAGTTCCTCTGTGCCTTTGTGCCCGTGGTGTCTCTTCTTATAAAAGCACCAGTCATTTTGGATCAAGGTTCTCTCTAATTGCCTCATCTTAACTTTGTTATGTCCACAAAGACCCTACTTTCAAAGAAAGCATATGAAGAAATACTAGAGCTTAGTATCTCAACATATCTTTTTGGAAGGTACAACTCAACCCATACAAAAAAAGAATGCTGAATTTTTAAAAATGAGAAATAGCTTCAAACCAAAATATAATTTAGGGTACATTCTGAAATCATGTTCTAAAGATAAAGCCCAAGATATAACTGTAAAACCCTTTAAGAACTGAGAAAGGTCAATGCTGGGTCTCCAGTCAGGCAAAAGGCCCTTTGAAGAGATTAAGTATGCATCACAGACCCTCTTAACCAAGCTACAGAGCTTCTGTGAAGACGAAGGATATTGTCCTTAAGCATTCTCTACACTCCAAGGGCTAAATGTCAAAGAGATTTGTGGATGTGGCTCTGGTCTAATTGAGCCTCCAAAGGATCTACAGGAGGTGCATCAAGTTTTTAAAAGAATTATATCAGGCAAACATCTTTCTGCTTGTGCTACAAGGCACTGAGACAATATAAAGCAAATAGGGCCTGAAAACAGACTGAGACAAACAGCCAGCCACAAGCACACACTGCCTTTCATGAAAAAGGAAGGACACCTTAGAGGGAAAATCCAAGGACTCAGAGGGTAGGGTCAAAAGCCAGGAAGAATAAGGATTCCTCAGTACTGGCCGGCCTGAATTCTGATAGAGGAACTTCCCACACTAGCCCACTTGAGTTTCAGAATTGCTATGGATCAGTAACTCCTGTGCTCTTCCAGTTTTACTTCTTTCTGAATACGAATCTATGTAGATTTATCCCATCCTGTCCCACCATTGTGTATTGGCCATGTGGATGATGGATAACTTGTCCCTTTAGTTAGTGTTCAAAGCAAGAGAATGCATAGGGATGGTGCCTGGGAGCCTTACTTGTGCCTGGGCTGGGTGTGGATGATGAATGCAGGATTTTGAACCAGTTCTGTACAATGGGATGAAACCTTTATAGGAAAGTGTGAGTGTGTTTAGAAAGAACACTAATTATTGGGAGTCTCAGAATAGACTACAATAGCTGGGATCCAGGAGGTGATACTGCCTCCTCGTGGTTACACCCTTATGTAGTCCTGACATACCAGAGGTGATCTGTGTAACAGACAGACCAGTTTCAGAAGTGGTAGCATCTCTCCCCTGTGACTAGGTTATAAGTGACCCTGCTGTGGCCAGTACCTTAATGTCCCTTTTCCCCCAACCTTCCTCGCTCCCTTTCTCCTTCATCCTTTCTTCATCTTTCTTTCACAACTCATTCTAGGGGAAACCATGTGGGCAAGGAATTAAAACTTATCACCAAAAGTTTTATAAATGGGTTTGGAAATGCTTCCTCTAGCCCTAATAAAATCTTCAGAGATGGCAAGGACTGGTACTATGGACACCTAGACTGAAGTCTCATGAGAACACTTGAGCAGAAGCATCCAACCAAGACATGCCAGATTTCCAGCCCCAGCGACTGTGTAAGAGAATGAATCTTTTTAAAATGATAAATTTGAAGATACAGTCATCTGTTACACAACCATAAAAAATTAATAGAGCATCTGAAACCAAAATTAGCAGTTTTAGCAAGGATACACATATTATTTAAACAAAATATAAAGGGGTAGTTTTTAGACTTTCCATACTGAAGACAGTATTTTGGAAAACCGGAAAAGTAATCTTCCAAGGAACTACAAAGGACTAAGGCCCTCCTTGGCCACTGGAAGACCAAAGGGCATTTACTAGCCCTAATCTGAGTGAAATCTGGCTACTCCAAGGAGGGGGAATATATTATCAGGGGATTTCAAAGGCTTATTCTCTCATGGGGACCCAGTTTTCCAAAATCATGTTGCAAACAGCTGCTCATCGTGGCTGCCCTGTCATTTCCCCATAACAGGGAGGTGGGGCAGTGTAGGGATAAACCAATGGCTTGTCACATTGAGATTATTCTGTTAGGGACTCTGTCATTATGT